TTTTCCCCCCCCCTCCCCCCCCCTCCCTCTCTATCGTTTATTTTACTTTATTACTAACGGATAAATGCTTTGCAAGGGAAAATTAAACAAACAATGGTTTGCAGCGGATATTTCAGATACATAATACAAGCAACTCAAATTTTCTTTGTAAGAATAATTTGAGAACTCCTAAACTCCTTTCTACTTAAAAAAATAATCAAGTGAAAATATTGTTTTATTTTTTACCTTACTCAATCTAAATGCAGTAAACAATGTGCATAGGTTTACATGCTCCAAACCACATCAATTGTCTCAAATTAAATTCATAACATAGCAATTTTCGATAAACAAAAGACGCTTCTCCCTTCAGTGTATGCTATTTTCTCCGAAATTGTAATTTTACCATCCCTCTGTTTCGATTTTTTTTAGGAACTTCGCCAATGTACGTAACTTGTTTATCCCTAAAGTAACTGATGCGATCTATGCCTGACCTGCGTGCACCCGAAGTCTGTGGTGTTTAATCGTGTTCTTCTTCACCTGTCATTACATTCAATAGTCCTACAGGAAGATAAAAAAAAACTGGAAGGTTACATTTCTCTTGCAGTTTTTTTATGGTGGAGGCTGTTGCATTAAAGGCCGATTACGCAACAGACCCACCTATTAATAGCCATTGTAACAACTCCGATGCCCCATTATTCCGACCTGGTAAAGACGCTCCACCTGGCCCGGCAATGCGCCCTGCGGTCGAATTATGAGGTCGCGCTGGAGTACTACAAGGCCGTTGGCAAAGAGATCGCGGCGTACGTGGGCCAAGGGGCCATCGATCCCGATCTGTCCGCCCGATGGGTTAAAATGCAGAACGAGATCACGGAGGAGGCGTCTTGTGTAATAGGCATTATGGACGAGCTGAGGTGTCTAACCACCCCTGCGGAGGCCGCGCGCCGTGAGCGACAGGTGACACAAACCCAGGACCCGGGAGGCGCGGCGGGGATGCCCGTCTACGGGGTCCCAACCGGCCGTTGGAACCCCCCAAAAAACGGGGATGCCGCTCGTTTGGCTCCCGCGGAGGGTCCACGGCAACCCCGGGTTGGGGTCGTGCGCGGGGGGTCTAAAAAAGCCCCCCTTCGGCGCGAGGCCCGAGCAGGGGTAGGGGCCGCGGATGGCCTCGACGGACGGGAAGGGCGGAAGGCAAGCCGAATTGTCCACAAGCACACCACCCTCCCACGCTTTACCGCACGGGCAGGGGAAGAGGAGCTGGTGCAGCTCATCGAGGCCGAAATGGATGTCGGCAAGATCTCGGTCTCGTGGAATGACATCGCCGGCCTGGAGGATGCAAAACGCCTTCTCGAGGAGGCGGTGGTGTACCCGGTTTTGATGCCGGACTACTACAAGGGGATTCGTCGGCCGTGGAAAGGTGTGCTGCTCTACGGCCCACCGGGCACCGGCAAGACGATGCTGGCAAAGGCCGTCGCCTCAGAAGCAGTGACGACCTTTTTCAACATCTCCCCTGCCACCCTCACGAGCAAATGGCGCGGTGAAAGTGAAAAGCTAATTCGAGTTCTTTTTGAAATGGCTCGGCACTACGCGCCAAGCACTATTTTCATTGATGAGATCGACTCATTGTGCGGACAGCGCGGTGGTTCGACTGAGCATGAGGCGACGCGACGAGCAAAGGGAACGCTCCTTGCCGAGATGGATGGCGTTGGTGCGGATCCCTCAAAGACGGTAATGGTTCTTGGTGCGACAAACCATCCATGGGATATCGATGAGGCGATGCGCCGTCGTTTGGAAAAGCGTATTTACATCTCTTTGCCGGACGCTCGCGATCGTGTGGAGCTTTTTAGGATTAATACGAGTTCGCTTAAACTTTCATCCGATGTTGATTTTGAGCAGCTGTCGAAGCTTCTGGAGGGCCACTACTACAGCGGGGCCGATATCACAAATTTAGTGCGTGACGCTTCGATGATGACGATGCGCCGCTTCTTGAAGGAATCGGATAAGCACTCGCTTCGTGAGAACGCGGCCGAAATCGGTCGACGCGTAGCGGAGCAGCCAATCACCATTCAAGACTTTCTGAATGCATTCAAAAAAGTACCTAGTAGTGTGAGTCCTGAAAACATCAAAAAGTTTGAGAAGTGGAAGAAAGAATTTGAAATCAATATATAATTCTTTTGCTCGCTGTATAGGCAGGTATTACCAACACACATGCATACGCATGTTTCTTTTTCCTCTAACTACATCCCTTTTTGGATCTACAAGAAGGAAGCGAGCGAATTAGGTAACGATAATCTCTGCCGCAGCAATTACACTACTTTTAGATGTAACATTATGTGGTTTACCAACTAAGTAAAGTTTTTCCTTCACATTCGTTTTGCTGTATTCCTGTAATTTATGCTTATGCTGAAAATGTTAGTCATTTTATGAAATGGTTCTTGAGCCACTCCGATTGATCATCCCTCGGATGCGCGCTAGATGGATCTCTTGCCTTTTGGTTTTCCAATTTTCTCTTGAAGTGTAAACGACTAGAAGCACACAGAGTGGGAGACCCTCCTAATCTCGACAACCAGTCGTCCGTTGGGCAACCGTATCGACAACCCGACAAAAAATGTCTGACCCCCTTCTTCGTTTGGGTGATGTTAACAAGAAGCGCCGACGGGCGCGGGGGAAAAGCCCTCCGAGCGGGCTCCCCGAACGGCCCCCGTCGTATCCCCGCGGGGAGGACAGCGTCCCGCGCGGGGGCCCCTCCCAAGGGGGGGCAAACCCCCCCCCAGCAGCCCCTTGCGCAGCACCCGCTCGCCGCAGTGGCTGTACACCAACGCCCACAGCTGCCCGCT